CGCAGAACGCAACCGCAAAGGAGCGTGAGTACCGTATTCCGGATCAAAGAATGGTCCGAGGAGCCAAGAGGGGCATCGACGGAGACCTGATATCCGTCCGGATGAGAGGTCAGCAAAAGGTCCAACAGGGAAGGTACGTGATCTTCCACATCTGGGATCCGCGTAGGCGAGGTAACCAGTTGTGTCAGACCATATGCCAAAGCAAAGTCATAAACAGTATGATCGGTTAAACGAGAACCAAGCCATTCAGCGTGGTGGGCGTTAAAATCACCGAGCATTGCAATCTCTGCGGATGAGACCTGTGGTAGCATGCTTTCTGCAGGACGTGGTTGGTGAGTCGATCTGTGTCGACATTGCCGCTATGGGTCCTATAGAGGCACCCGTAGACGTGCGGATGGTCGTCGCTAACTACGCGCAGCCATAAGATGGACAGGTCCTTCAAGGCCGCCAAGGCGTCGAAAACAGATGTCTTCTCTGACGTACACGCAAACTCCAGGCCGGGGCACAAAGGAGTGTTCTAATCAGTACCCCGGGTAGGAGAGATATGAAGTATCTGCCGGAGAAGACACCTGTGTCTCGGTTAGAAAGAGCAAGGCTGCCTTTGCCGTTTCCATATGGTAGTGGACAGCTTTTAGGTTCGAATGAAGTCCCTGATGTTGCAAAAATTCATGGATAGCGTGGCAGCGGGCGCCTTTGATTTATTGCTCCGTTTGCCCCGAGCAGTATTTTGCGCCCCCCCCCCCTCCAGAATACGCGGGGCAGTCTGAGCACCTACGCTCAGGAAGAGTAGGGTAGCTTGGGCGCGGCTACTCACCGAGGGATCTTCCGTCACAGGGGGTGCTGGCTAACATGTTAAGGAGGGGAATTGGGCCTCCGGCCTGCACTCACCAGTCGAAATTCAGAAGCAGAGCTTTTACTTCACACTGGTCTTCTGTGAGGTCGTGGTACCACCCCGGTTTGAGACGGCCCATACATCCGTGCGACAGCAAAAGCTGCCGCGTGGCTCTACCACTGTTTAAAATACGAGTATTATGGTTGTAGTACGAATGGATCGGCTTGATCGGTGTAGAACCACTTTTTTTATACGATAGGGTGACAAACGAGCACACAGTCCACCTGATGGTAAGTGGTTGCTGTGGCCCATTAACATCTACATCTATCTTGTGAATCAAAGTGCAGATGCGTTGTCACCCGTGAGGACTAAGATGGAATGCCTCTTTTCCAGTAAAAAGGGTCTCCGGTTCTCTACACTCACCATACGAAACACAGCAGCGTTAAACTGCTATTTTGCGTTGGTATTCTGTGAGAGCCTGGGCCTTCCCCGGTCGAGCTGACCCATTCGTGCTACAACTATACTACTAATATAGCTGCAGCATTGCTCTGGCACGTACCACGTTCTCACAGAATACCAGCGTAAAATAGCAGCTTAATGCTGCTGTGTTTCGAATGGTGAGTGTAGAGAACCGGAGACAATTTTTAATGGAAACGGGGCATTCCATCTAATTCCTCAGGAGTGACAACGCATCTGCATTTACCATCAGGTGAACTGTTTGCCCGTTTGTCACATATTCTATAAAAAAAAGCTAATTGCATTATTAAGTAGTAACTTTCACAAAGCTCCATGATCAAAAAAACTTGTATCATTTAAACTGGTTGTAAGTTTTATGACATGTTCAGTTTTATGACATCTTCAAGTTTTGTTTATCTGACTTGTTAAAAATCAAAACTAGTTTTTTGTTCCCATTCTTTGAGTATTAAACCAGTTGATTTAATACCCAAAGTTCCCATTAAAAAGTTGGATTTTTTCGTTTGTCAGATTTACAGGTGTCGTGACGACATTTTCATCAGTTCTATATAAGTGCATTATATGAAAAAAAAAAAACAAAAGCAAATGAAATAAAAAAGTGAATGCTTTATAATGTAATTGCTTTTTGCAAAAATAATGCTTTCAATAGCATAATTATAAAATGATGAACAGCATTGAATTAATAAGTGAGATATGGTCCAATAAAAATGAAATTGGTACAAAAGGTCACAGGGCGAGTTGAAACGGCTATAAATTAATATATTAAAAAAAAGAAAAAGCAATACCTGGGTGTGTTTTAAACGACTTCCAATGTTTTAAAAGCACATAAATTCCAGATTTATTGCTATTTCTGCCAAATTTTATGCTTATAAACTATCAAATAACTTAGAGTACCGTTTTTGCTTTTAACACAAAACAACAGTGAGTTGGAATATTTAGAATAAACTATTTATTTTAGATTTTGTAAATATAGCCGTTTTTTAAAACATGACCAACTTATTTTATGAATATTTCATACTTTCTGTTTTTTGTATGAAACTTATACTTAAAATGCGACTAAAAATATCAATATAGTTAAAGTTAAAATTACAGCCTATATACGTTCCACTGCTGGGCACAGGCCTCCTCTCATTTCTGAGAGTGTTTTAGGACAAGAAAATGTCCGCCGCGCTGACCGAATGCGTGTTGGAGAACTGAAAAGACATTTGACTTCAAAATATTTTTTTTCTTATTTCTCCCACATGCAGATTTCCTTACGATGTTTCCGACATGTCGTAAATCGCACATAAAATCTGGAGGCACGGCAGTGCCCCCGCCAAGTCGAGCAAAAAAGCGGCACGGCCGTACCATCCTTTTCTCGAAGCAGTTCAGGCCCTTTTCGAAACCCTATAACTTCGTTATGGATAAAACTAGAATCCTGATGGCCAAGTCAATCTATTTATTTAAAACATAATTTTTTTTTAATATTGATATGATCACTATAAGATGTTGTTAGGTTATCTAATTACGTAATAACTTAAGAGAGAAGGACCCTTAAGTAGGGACTGAATAAATTAACCGACTTGGTATTACATGGATCTCACAACTTTTTACGGTAGAAGAACTGAGTTGCGACACTTGGTTTTTTTTACAAGTTATGTTTTTGATGGCATAGCAATTTACAATTTCATTCGTGCCGCCAGGATTAAACCTGGGTTGCTCGCGTACTGTGTAATCGTAAAAAAATAAAATAATATAAATCGTAATTTACAGCGAGAACTTAGCTTCTGAGCTACCACGGCTCTAATGCCATATTAGTTTGTCGTATTCACACGTATGGGCGTTCCAAATGCCTTCTAATAAAGAAATTTGGAAGTCAGTTGCAATAATAGGAATTTCTCAATATTCTCGACATTAACAATATATTTACATATTACGAAATGGCGTGTCAACCTAAACGTTCCGAAACCGTCGTAATCCACGAGTTGCTGGCCTTTGTTCAACAAAAATTGGACGTCATGGACCAGGTGTCTCTGGAGCAGATACTGATGACAAGCTTCACCGAGGACGAGATCATCCAAGCGAAGAAGGTGTTAGCAGATTCAGCCGTGACCCAAATCCGTCTTATCACACGTCACAGGGATGGACGCGGTAAGAAAGACCTGCAAGACATCTTCAGGCTGTTCAATGAGACCGACCCTGATGACATCCCAACTTTCGTCGCGCGTGATCTCAACAAGCTGCCTCCCGTGACGTTCGATCACGTAGACGTCACCAGATTGTTGAAAGACATCACCACGTTGAGAGCCGATATTACCGACATCCGTTCCAAATTTGAGGAATCAGAACGAGCCGCAACAGAGCTGAGGAACGAAGTCAATATGTTGCGCAACATAATTGCAACATCTGCAAATTCACCGCCGTCGCAGAATGTGAATACGACACGCGGTAACCGTAATAGTAGTCATATTTCACCGATGATTGCGACTCCGTCACGCGATACCGTCTGTCAGCGGGTTGATGACCGAGAAACCAGGGCGACCTCGGTCGTCATTGCATCACCACCTCAACCCTTGACTGAACCCATTGGTACTCCTCCGCCGAAGCCAACCTCAAAACAAGGGAAGACGTTTGCGGATGTTGCCCGAAAATCTTTACAACCGGCACCCTCTTGTGGTCGAAAGCGGAAGAATGTGGAAATAAAATCAGTTCCAGTGGTAACCCAAGACAAGATTGATAAGGACGGGTTTACTCTTGTTGAGAAGAGACGTCGGTCGCGACCCGTCTGTAACCAGCGTGGGACCGCGAAAATAAACGCGAGTACAACTCTGCGTGCTGTGGAGCCAACCATACAACTCTACATCTCCCGTTTGGACAAAAGTACGTCGGGAGAAGACGTCCTGCGCTTCGTGGAAGAACGAAGCCGATGCCACATTGAGGATCCGATCTCTTTACATTTGCAGCGTCTGGAGTCTAATAGGTCAACGAACTTCAAATCCTACGTGCTCCGGGTTCCTGCAAAACATAAAGAGACATTCCTCGCTCCCGATTTCTGGCCCTCTGGGGTAGTGTTTCGCCGATACAGGGACGCGCCAAAGAAAAAAGTTCCCTAAATAGTGTTAAGTTATGTCTATATTTTATATATATTTTTAGGTTAAGGTATATATTGCTATGGGCCAATGTTCTTAATTTTTAAGTCCTTGATGCCTGAAATAAAGTTATTGTATTGTATTGTATTATTTCAGTACCAGATGTGTTGCTACTTTGCTGCTGCTGACTATCGTCGGTGAGGACACCTGGCGTAAACGAGATGTTTATATTTACCCGCCATCTATCGGAAAACCATAACATCTTTACGTATTGCTCATAGTCGACTCTTACGACACACAATGGACGAAATCAATATCTGGTTCTTACACCAGCCGCGTATTCGTATAGATTTTTAAACAATATAATATTATTCGTAGTTAAATATTAAAAAAGAAATAATTAAAATAAGTTTAACTTGAAATAAAGGTAGGTACCTACTTAAGAGAGATTTAACATGCAGATCATAATATACACTCTTTCTCTTCTCGCATGGTGAAACTTTATTATACGGTTCAGAGATCTAATAAGTAAATACGCTATTTACTACTAGGTGCGAAATAAGATAAGAATACAAAGCTTTCAACTTTTACGCATTTCAGTAACAGTGGTTTTGTTTTTATTTCAGATGGAAGTCAAAAGGTACAAGCGCGGTGGCGCCTCCTTCCTTACATACTGGATATTTCTATTACAAGTGAGTATGTTCTTTTATTCTTTTCTAAAATCTTAAAAGATATATAGCTTCACAAATTTATTCATTGCAGCCTATCAAAAGTTCACTGCTAAACATAGACATCCAAGGATTGCTTCCGGGGGTTATTTACCATACTTGTCACATTTGTCCCGCTGGGTTTCTTGCTGGTTCTTCCCAGGACAGAGGTATTTTCCGAACCAGTGGTAAATAAAATATGACTTTCAATAAGTATTATGTAATAATCAATATTGAATAAAAATTATTCTATTCTATTCTATTCTATTCTATTTGGAAAGCGTATTAGCAACGGCAGTTTTTATTCTTTTAAGTTGTTATTGGAAAGATGCTGCTGTTCATCTCCTGTTTCAGTGTTCCTTTTATGGCACCCTCCGGATGATATGGAGTAGTCGATTATCTTACCGCCTCGCCGCCACTACACGGCTTATATTATCAGGGATGGCTGATTTAAATCGCTTGATTTTGATTAAAAAAAAATTGATTTAAATCAAACTGTATAAATTAATGTAATAGGCAAAAAATGAAATAAAACTGGCTTAAAATAAGTAAAATATTGGTTTATGTTATTCTTATTATTCTACTACAATATGCTCATAAACTTTGGAAAATCAACGAAGACTGTAGCGATGAGGTCTGTCAGTCTCATAAACTTGTAAAATCAACCGAAGAATTTTTTTAGAAATTCACGCTTAAGATATGAACTGTAATTAATACAGTATTAATTATTTTACTCTTAATCAGTCTCTATTCATAAACTTTTAATCCTATTATGTCAAAAAGTGTTACCAACTCGTTAATTTCTAAATATAGAAAAACAATAAAAAAATCATGATTTTTTTAAAAAATCAACATGATTTGATTAAAATTAAAAAAATCATGATTTTTTCCATCCCTGTATATTATTATTATTATTATTTAGGATCTTTTGTTATAGTGACTCCATAAAACAGCATTATTATGATGACTATTTTACGGTATATCCTGTGCGAATAGTCCTTCCTCGATCGAGCTGACATACGCGTGTGTTAGAAATATGTTTCAGAATCTCTACATAGTATAAAACGAAGTCGCTTCCAGCCGTCTGTGCGCTTAGATCTTTTAAACTACGTAACATATTTTGATGCGGTTTCCATTTATAGACAGAATAAATCAATAAAAAGGTTTGTATGTATAAAATATTATATAATACTTCTGCCCGTGTGTAGGTGACTGAACTCCTAAACGGCTGGACCGATTTTGATGAAATTTTGTGTGTGATAAGTTGAATAGAGAATGGTTTATATTGACAATTCAACCCGATAGGTGGCGTTGTTGTCGAGATCCAGAAATCAAACATGTGAAGGGGGGTGGATCGCTAGTTATTTAAATAAAAGGAATACTTTTCAGTAACCTCTTTACGTTATAAATCATTTATAGACTTCAGTATTTAGAAAAAAAATACCAGGTAACACCAAAAAAAATTGAAATGAAAAATTGAATATGGTGTAATAATATAGCTGCATAACATTACAATTTTCATAATAACCTATTTTTTCTTCTTTCAGATGTTAGGAAGCGCTCGTCGTGGTGCCGAAGGTCATGGAAGACTAATGGACCCTCCAGCACGTAACTCCATGTGGCGTTTCGGCTTTCCTAATCCTGTAAATTACAATGATAACGAACTGTTCTGCGGCGGATATGCCGGTCAGTTTCAATTTGTTTATGTATCCGGCTCGAAAGACCAACGAAATATAACTTGATAAATGCGAAAAAAAAATTGTTACGCTACAGCAAGTTAAATTTTAAGGAGTAACAGTAACAATTTAAAATAATGAAATAAAGCTGTTGTTTTTTTTTTGTTGTTGTCCATGGCTGCGATTAAATAGGGTAGTACCGCAGGTACACTCGCTAACACAGAGGCAACATTCAGCTTATCTTAACTGTGCCCTATGCAGTGTACAGATCTGTAAAGTGCTTGCGAACATGCTTAAACCTACGTAAACTAATTGCAATAAACTATAGGCTAAGGCCAGAGATAGCGTGCTGAGGAGCAGTGTTGAAAAAACGCGTTTATGACAAATACATCAAACTCTTCATATCTTGCTACACCGCACGAGCAATCGAATTTTCCACTCAGGCCTTAGATTTATACTCTCCATAAATAAATACCCTACACTTCATAAAATCCGTAACGATAACATCCGCAGAACAACCAGAGTAACCGACCTAGCCCAATGGATCAATAAACTGAAGTGGCAAATGGCCGGACATATAACTCGACGAGCCTACAACCGATGGAATGACCTTCGAATTTTTGTTTAATTGCGCTTTTCTGTTTTAGGAGCATTAACCTTTAAAAACATCTGCCGTCAAGTTTTTGTTAACTAATCATTAAATTGATGAGTCGTGAAGCCAACGTGTACGAAAATAATAAGTTTATTGAACTCGTCTATATAATACATCCATACTATTCGCTTGATAACCAGTTAAAGCATTGTCTTGAGTGAGTGGTTAACAGGACACAGTGACACAATACAGTGTGGGAATATCACAATAAACAAAGACATAATATTTGTGCCTACATTTGGCCTACGTTTTATCCTTTTTAAAACGTTAGGGTGACAAACGAGTACAGAATCCACCTGATGACAAGTTGATGTTGTTTATGAATCAAATTGCAGATGTGTTTTCACTTCTTAGGATTAAGATTGACCTAAAAAGGTAAAGAGGGTCTCTATTCTCGTCACTCACCCTAGGAACTTAGCACCATTATGTTTCTATTTTACGGTATTCTATGAGAGCGTGATTCTTCTTTGACAGAACCGACCTAGTTGTGCTGTTGACAACAACTACAAGTATGCTACAAACACATGAGTAAAGAAACCATGAGGTTACATCACGTGGTAACGCGTCGCAATTTGTCGCTTTGCATCGTAAAGCTAGGACAATAGGTTAATATTATTATTTAAAAATAAAGTTCTTTAAACTTATATTACATATTAGCCATTACGGACCTGAAATTTTTTCATTTGTTTTTCCATACATGGTTTTAACTATGATGAGGTGTGTTGAAAATAGCTGACATAATCCGACAAATAGCTGTACACCGTTCGGTGACGACGTCAGTGAAGACACTACATCATCTTTAATGTGTCTCGTAAATGTCATCTAAGAGAAACAAAATCTTGTAGGTATGGACCCTGAAAATGGCTACCCATTAATCATTCGTAGAATTAGCATTTTTTCTCAACATGATTATAAAAGTGGAAATGTTAACTAGTTTGCAATTTTCGTTACAAAGTTACTTATTTCTTGAATTAATTTATAGAATAAGGATAACAAACGAGCACACAGTCCATAGGTACACGAGCAACGAGTGACATTTTTGCTGCTGTGATCTGCTTTATCACCGAGTAGTAACAATAACTGAGGAGAGCCTTTGTTCTGGTATAGATTTAATAAAGGTGATATGCAATTTTGATTAGTAAATATGCTTAACTTTCTTCAATGTCAAAAGAAAAGGTATAATAAAGTCTCATAAAGATCGAGTAAAAACAAAAATACTACTACATTATAATGATGGTAAGTGAATTCTGCGGCCCATAGACATCTTCATCTATCTTCGATTAAGAATCAAAATGCAGATGCGTTGTCTAAAATGAAATGCCTCCTTTCCAATAAAAAGAGGTATCCGGTTATCTTTCTCACCATACGAAACACAAACAGCATAAACTGCTATCTTACGCTTGTATTTTTTGAGAGCGTGATCCTTCCCCGGTCGAACTGACCCATTCGTGCTACTGTAGCTCTACCACTTTTATGTATTATTTCTATGATGGATCAAACTGACAGCGTGTGCGTTCAGTTCAGTGGGAGCAGAACGGCGGTCGGTGCGGGGTGTGCGGGGACGCGGTCCACTTGTCAGAGCCGCGGCCGCACGAGGCTGGTGGCATGTTTGGAAAGGGCATCATCACGCGACACTATAGTGTCGGTCAGGTAAGTTTGGTGATGAATGTAAGCTTTTGACAGGGCAACAAAATATTTGAATCACCGCAGGATTGACTATGCTTGGTCTGAAAATACACACGTAAATAAACTGCTCCGCGATATCTTAGAATCTTTTAATTAGATTTATTTTTGCATTTTCTTTATATGTATACGTGTCGGTGCGTCTGTTAGTGATCGTTTAACTTTTGGACGACTCGACCGATCTGTCATATTTATTTATACTAGCCATTACGGATCTGTGATTTTTATTTTTTAATCTTGAAGCAAGTACCAAATACCATATCACTAGGATCGACAGTTGTGGTACTTATGAAACATAAATGTCCAATCCAATCAATCCCTTTTTATTATTTAACTCCGCCTGATGTCTAAGATATATAGTTAAGATGTCAGTAGTTTCATAATAACTGTAGACAGGCTTACATACCAGTAACAAACTGACTTTGATTTTCTATCAGGTTCTAAGTAAGCTATGAATCATATAATATATAACTTATTGAGCGTGTAGTGGCGGTGTAAGAACATCCACTACCTCATATCGTCCCCTGAGTGTCGTTAAAGGCGACAGAGGGAAATAAACCAGGAGACAGGCAGCAGCATCTTCCTAATAACAATAAAGTAACTTAAATTAAAAATTTAAAAAACCCTCGGAATGAAAAGAGCTGATGATCTTCAAACGGCTAAACAGATTTAATACTCTCGATCAAGTCACCTCTCAAGGAAAGAAAAAAAGTTAAAGTTAAAGTTACAGCTTATATACGTCCCACTGCTGGGCACAGGCCTCCTCTCATTTCTGAGAGATTTTTCAGGGCAAGGAAATGTCCGCCGCACTGCCTCAATGCGTGTTGGTGAACTTCAAATGTCTTCGAAATATTTTTTTTGTTCTTATTTCTCAGACATGCAGGTTTCCTCACGATGTTTTTGTCTTCACCGCCGAGCACGTGGTCCATCAGCACTTAAAATTGCAATTAATAAATTCATAGCTGCCGGCGGGATCGAACCCGGGGGTGAAACCAAAGAAAACTAATTCAAAATCGGTTCATCTGTTTGGGTAATACGATGCACACAGACAGATACACAAATACACACCTTAAACATATAATATACCTCTGTTTACGTCGGGGATTAAAAATAAAAACCTACGGTTGCCAACCCACCTGCAAAGCTTGACAACAAATATCCACCTTACGAGGCAATTTATGGTAGTGGCTTTTGGTCATCTGTTTTGGTTTATGAAGAGCTGTAATGGTGATAAACCAAAATCGACCAAAAGCCTATCACTATAACTTTTGTACAGCGTTGATTATTTTTCGCCAATATTTTAACATCTTATTAAGAGTTTGTTTACAGGAAATAGAAATAGAAATCGAACTGACAGCCAACCATCTCGGTACTTTTATAATGAAACTTTGCCCGAATAACAACCCTAAACAGGAAGCGACGCAGGAATGTTTCGACAGGTAAGAAATATTATTACAAAAGTAAATTAACTGTCTACATATTATAAACCAAAGCTGGGCTGCAGAGAGTTTTGATGCAGGGAAGTGCCCGCCCCGGTGCCCCAGTGGGTGCATACGGACTTGACAAGTCCTCGAAATTATTTCCTCAAAATGTTATGTCTTTGGGGTCAGGGGCAAGCCTAGGACTGATGAACCTGACCTGTTCTTGAATGGGTCAAAACTTAAAAAAGTGACGTCCTTTAAATATCTTGGTCATTTTCTTGCAGATGACCTGAAAGATAATGTAGACATTGAGAGGGAACGCAGGGCTCTAGCGGTCAGGAGTAACATGCTGGCCCGTAGATTTGCTCGATGTACGGACTTAGTTAAAATTACCCTATTTAAAGCATACTGCCAGAGTCTGTATACGAGCAGTCTATGGATCAATTACACTAAAAGGTCGCTGGATGCCCTGCGTGTTCAATATAATAATGCTTTCAGAATGTTGTTGGGACTGCCTCGATACTGTAGTGCGTCGGAGATGTTTGCGCAAGCTCGCACGGACGGTTTTCATGCGATAATACGTAAGAAAACAGCTTCGCTGCTTAGAAGGGTGAGAGATAGTCACAACAGCATTTTGAAAACAGTAGCGGAGAACTATAATTCTCCGATTTTGAAAAAGTTTGTTCACACATTAATGTTTACTAACACTAGTTTATAAGTCAATTGTTACTAACACTACTATGGATTAATTTTGGTCCGAAATAAAGATTATTATTATTATTATTATCATTTTTATTCTTTCTGTTTAGTATTCTCTCGTTTCCGAGGTATTATACCTTATTCGCGAGCTGTTAGCCAAACGAACTCGGTTGAATGTTTAATCTTTAGACAGAAACTTACGGACTATTCTACACGTATTCAATATTGCTGCTTTCTGCAGCAATATAAAGGTAAGTTTATGGATGTCTAGATCCTTTAAGCTAGAAAAAAGTGAACGGGGAATGACGCCAGTTGCAGATATTATAATAGGTACAGTTTTTACAGTTTTTACTTTCCACTGGGATTTTATTTCGATGGATAAATCAGTGTATTTGGCTATTTTTTCATTATAAGTGGAAGTCAAATTGTGCGTATTTGGTATAGCAATATCTATAAGATAAACTGATTCATTTTTTTTGTCATGTAGCGTAATATCCGGTCTATTATAATGCACGGTCTTATCAGTTAATATAGTTCTGTCCCAGTAGAGTTTGAATTCACGAGAGTCAAGTATGATTTCGGGCTTGTATTTATAGTATGCTATTTTTTCATCTATAAGATTATATTTATATGCGAGGTATTGATGAATAATGGCAGCTACTTGGTCGTGTCTGTGTTTATAGTCGGTCTGGGTTATTGAGCTGCAGGCACCAGTGATATGCTGTATGGTTTCTGAGCTATTATGACAATGTCTGCAAAGGTCTGATTGTAGAGTGTGGTCTTTAATTATGTGTTTCCTGTAGTTTAGAGTATGTATAGTTTGGTCCTGAATTGCTAACATGAAGCCTTCCGTTTCAGGGAAGAGTTCTCCGCGCTTGAGCCACATGTTAGACGCTATCTTGTCTACGTGTGTGTTCATCAAGTCGCGACGGTGTCTTCCATGTAACGTCTTCTGCAGCCAGCTGTTAATTTTATCTTGTGCAGAGATAATACTTTCATTTTTTTGTTTTCTTTGATCTTTGAGGTTTAAAGGAGTGAGTTTAGTATCGGCTTGGACAACAGCATTATGAAGCGGACTATTATTGGCTTGTTGATGGAAGAAGTTTCGAATAGCTGAAATTTGAGAGTTATGAAGATTTTTTATATCTATGAAACCTCTTCCACCTTCTAGTTTAGGTAATGTGAGTCGTTCGCTACAAGATCTAGGGTGGTGTTGTCTGTATTTAGTCATTGTTGTATTGATGAGACGTTGCAGCTTTATTAAATTACTTTTAGACCAATGAATTATACCAAACGAATAAGTTAAAATTGGGATAGCGAATGTGTTCACTGCTTTAATGATGTTCCGCGCATTTAGATGTGTGTTAAGTATTCTATTTAGGCGTAATTTAAATTCTTTTTCTAATGTTTTTTTAACGTGTTTTTGGTGAATCTGTTGAGTCTGAGTGAATCCTAAATATTTATAGCCAAAGACTTCATTTACAGGTTCAATGGTTTCACCTGTTTGGAGAGTATATGAATTTTGTTCTGATTTGCCTCTACGAATTGATTGTATCCTGCATTTATTTATTCCAAATTCCATTTGAATATCAGTTGAGTAGCTTTCCGTTATATCAGCAAGAATATGTATATCTTTTAAACTACTTGCATACAATTTTATGTCATCCATATAAAGTAAATGTGATAGTGTGTGGTGTGTATTTCCGTTGGTGATTTTATATCCCTTGTCAGTTCTATTGAGAAGGTTAGATAAAGGCTTTAAAGCCAGGCAGAACCAAAGAGGGCTTAAGGCATCACCTTGAAATATTCCCCTTCGGATTGCGATTATATCAGTCTCTAAACAAGAGTCACCATTGTAAAGCTTGAGAGTAGTTCTCCAATGGAGCATTGCGTTTTTCAAGAATTCTATAATTTGAGGATGAATTTTATAGTGTTCTAAAATATATATTAGCCAGCTATGGGGTACTGAGTCAAACGCTTTTTTATAGTCAATAAACATAGTGAAAATATTTCTTTTTTTGGTGACTGCTTGTTTAGAGACGACTGCGTCAATAATCAACTGTTCTTTACAACCTAAACTACCTTTTCTGCATCCTTTCTGTTGTTCTGCTAATATATTTTGGGAGATAGCGTGCTTGTAAATTAATTGGCTAAGGCAAGACGTAATAATCTTATAAATGTTTTGGAGACAAGTAATTGGCCTGTATTTGGCTGGATTTTTTGAGTCACTTCGGTCTTTAGGTAACATATAAGTTGTTCCTAGTGTAATGTAGTTTGGCAATAATTCTGGTGTTTTTATAAAAGTGTTGATATGTGAGAGTAAGAGCGGATCTAAGTAAGTAAATTTTTTATACCAATAGTTATGGATTTTATCGGTTCCAGTCGCTTTCCAGCTATGTGTTTTGTTAATAACTGAAGTTAATAAATCCATGTTTATTTCATCGAACATCATCTGTGGTAAATTTACTAATAGTTCCCTATCCTGTTTAATCCAGTCGCTTTCTCGGTGAGTTTTCGGAGTTGACCATATATTTGACCAAAATTGATACAGCAGTTCTGTTTCGGGTATCTCTACTAATTTATTATTATCATTATTGTCATGTGTGTTTGTTAGGTTTCTGTAGAATGATTTTTCATTATTATAAAATAGGGCATTTTGTTGTTTTCTTAGAGTGGTTTCTTTATATCTACGTAGTCGGTTTGCAAGTGAACTAAGCTTTTGTTTGAGGGTGTCTAGAAAATGGGCTAGTTCCTTGTTTTCGTGTTCATGCAGTGAATGTATTCTATAAGCTGCTCTGATTTTTTCTATTTCGCGTTTGAGCTTAGTGCTTGTATTACCATTTATATATTCCGTTAGTCTCCCTATTTTAACTCTAAGATTTGAGATTCTGTCTTCTAATCTCATTTGCCATTTAGGGATTCGTTTCTTCCGACGTGAGGCGTTATTTTCTTGGTCCATTATTTTGTATCCATTGTAAATTGAAACTGTAGCAGCTCCACAATATATAGCATTTTGGATTGTGTGAAAGTCTGAATCGGGTGGTATATGGACAGGAAGAAGTGATTGGTTAATGTAGTGTACAATACGGGCTAGTTTTTTAGAAGTCTTTTGTTTAGGTATGCTAGGTCTAGTTGTAGGATCGACGTACTTATATTTATTTAAAAGCATTACAAATGTCTCATCAATTTTATTTCGTATGTCCCCAGGAAGTTTATCGTCATTTTGTTGGTTTTCATTATGTTCCTGTACTTGTTTTGCGTTATAATCTGGGGGTGTTATTATATCCGGGTAAGTTTGTGTATTGTTAGGTGTGATTAGGCTTTCATGTGTCTCTAAATTTTCTGTGGCGGGTTGGGTGAAGTCAAATCTATAATTATCTTGCAAGAATATGTCAGGTTCTGTGTTGTTATTTGCTGTTTTATTCTGGGTAGCCATCTCTATTGCAATCTCATCCTGTAACTCTTGGAGTCTGCTTTCACTTAACAGTTTATTATTGATGATTGCTCTGTATTGATCTGCTATGCGTTGCTCAGATACGTGAGAAAGATGTGGAAATTTGGTGATAAAAGATTGATGTAGAGGGCGTCTGTAAGCAGTTTTGTTTGTCCCGACTGTAGTAATTCTGTAGAAACTTTTTATGATGAATTCATTCAAATCATTATCCCAGTGCATTCTTTGGTTACCGGTTACTTTATTATTATTTTGTAGGTGCTCATTGTTAGGGTTATTGTCTAAGTAGGTTTTCACTTCGTCACGTATTACTTGAACCTGTTCAGCTGTTAATAATTTACCGTTAGTTATTGCCCTACGTTGATCACCTACTCGCTGTCTGCTAACATCCATATCTGGGTACTTTTCTATAAATTTTGCATAAAGTTGGGGAAGGTATGCCCTAATATTTTTAGTTTCCATAGATGTGATAGTAAGGTATGTGCGCAGTATAAAGATATTCATATCCTCACTCCATTTCCTGCGTGCACATTTACTAGCTTTGGTGGGTGCAGAGTTATCGGCGCTTGCCTTCTGCACAACATCCGTAGCTGTTGATGAAGAAATCGATTCAGAAGCATCGGAGTCCGAGAGACTAGCATTGGTCGTTTGATATTTGCGAGAGATCCCCGCCCGGAGATTCATCTGGCCCCGTAAGCCGGGCACTAGGGGCATGTTATTTTTATTTTTACTCATATATTTTTTTTTGGACAAAAGTTACCCACCACGTTTGTCCAATAGTGATGAGTCGCAGTAGACTTCCTAACTGAGCCTATGGGCGCCACCGTTGGTATGCAAAATACTCCTCCGCCGCCGCCCTAAAACTGACATCCCACGCTAATGTCAATTGCACTACCTAGGCCTCGTTAAGGCACTTGTGCCGAAGAGCCCTATGTAACCTCTTAGATGGGTATACCGCCATCGGTCGGTCCGCCATTGCCTCGTTTGTTGACAGCAGGGTGCACCACGTGCAGGTGAGGTTGGCTTGGAGTCGTTCCCCGGATTGACTCCCTTACACCCCTTATTATTATTATTATTATATACTGCCAACCGTAAATTAAATGCGCACTTTAAATCACAAAATACAATTTCCATCAAGTTTGCAACGAGCTTGAATCAACGTCCAGTTTACAGTGCATTTATGTAGACCACTCGCGTTCAAGTTCGTTGTCTAGTTTGCATGATGCCGCTCCGTTGAAACCATGGCGTCACCAGTGACGGAAGACGAAGCGTTAGCCGTCCTAGGCTTATTGCTCCGACGAAAGTCATGCATACTTGACCACTCATACACACGTTCAAGTTTACATGACGCTGCAATCTTGATCAAGTCGGCAGAATCGAAATTCTATTTTTGCTTCAAGTAGACTTGTCATGCATACTGATAGTCATACACCGTCAAGTTTACCGGTCGCCGCTTCAAGCGTACTACAAACTTGACGGGTAAACTGGATCGTATATGGCATTCATTAATTTCTCGCATATTCTTCGCCTTTATTAAGATCGCTTTATCTACCACCAAATTTAGTTATGTCTCAGTTCTTATTTTTTAATAGAAGAAAGGAGACAAATTAGTCAGTTTCGGAAACTAAGGTTCAACATTATTTTTCGTCATTAGTCAGTCAGTAGAAACTTGTTCAGGCACTAATGCACCGCGTGTAGGTGAAATTGGGCAAAATAATATAATATTTCCCCTTTCACCCAAGTCAAAATTAAAAGTACACACTTGACTGAATCGCACCCTCTACTTAATGGTATACTTACCGTCAAGTGGGGGTTTACCATCATTTATATATAAGATAATAATCATTTTGCTATCCATAACTGAGAGATGAATGACCATGAGCATGTGCTCTTATTCGGTTAAAAAATCGGGTAAAAATGAGTGACATTTTTGCTACCGAGATCTGCCTTGATGTCCAATAGTAGCAATAGCGGAAGAGAGTCTATGCCCTGATATAGATTATATACAAGTTTATAGGTAACGGTGATAATAACGTAAAAGGAAAAGTTGACAAAATTTATAGTCGCATAAAGATCGTATCGCGTAAAAACAAAAATACTACGAGTAACTACTACATTATAATGATCATGTTTCCAGGTACCCTTTGTACATATCAGGCACGCGCGAGGACAGGTTCATGATCCCGCTGGACACAGGCAAGAAAGATATCTTCAGGTACCGCGTCCGGCTGCCGCCCTACGTCACTTGCACCCAATGCGTGCTACAATGGACTTATCATACCGGTTAGCTTGAAGAATATTCTATCATTTTCTTTAAATAACACCTAACTACTGTCAAGGCCCTATTGCAGCCTATGGACCCCAGCAATCAACTTTCAACGGTGACCGCAGGTTTATTACCCCTGATTATTAAGACTTATACTGGTTCTAATTTCAAACCGAAATATAGCAGTGAATGCAGTTGGCGGCGGAAATAGGCAGAAAGAGCACAGTCCGTCTCCGAGGAAGATAAGAAATTCTACCACCTACCTCACAACCTGTAACTATACCGGCCCTCTTTTGAGAACGGAACACAGCACTCCAGACCCTAATGTTTGGTGGCTGAAATAGGTAATACCTGCCCAGAAAGATCCCGAAACAGAAATAATATATAGCTAATGTTAAGGGACTATTACAGATTATGGAACCCAGCAATCAGCTATAAACGATGACCACAGCTTTGTTACCCCTGATTATTAAGACGAAATGCCTATATATAATTATTTCTTTTCTTTAAAAAAAATTACTCTTTACCGGAACACAGCAGTGGATCCATTGTTGCTTGTTGGCAGAAGTAGGTAAAAGCACAGTCGGATTCCCAGGAATATTATAAGTAAGGAATTTTAGCTCCTAGTGACCGTCCAAATTCTTTTTTTTATACAATAAGGATGACAAACTAGCACACAGTTCACGTGCTACTTAATGGATAATGTGACTAATATATGACGTCTACATCTATCCTCGATTAAGAATCAAAATGCAGATGCTATGCATCTACTAAGATAGAATACCTCGTTTACAGTAAAAAATGTCTCCGGTTCTCTACACTCACGATATGAAACACAGCAGCATTAAGCTGCTATTTTACGCTGGCATTCTGTGAAAGTGTGGTCCTTCCCTGATCGAGCCTACTTATTCGTGCTACAACTATAATATAACTGCAGCATGACTCAACCACGTATAACCTAACCTATAATTCAAGTCCGATTTTGTAACTTTCATTTATGTTACATACTACATAGTATGTAACATAAATGAAAGTTACAAAATCTACTATAACTATATAAAAAATCCGATGTGAACCAATAAGTTACTATTTCTTTCAAAATATATTTTAGTAATTTTCAAAAGTGTCAGTTCATTTACCGCCGACCAAATAAAATTGTAAATTGCAATTGGTCGGCGGGATACATGATGATATGCAATTTTAAGTGCTGATTTATCACCTGCTCGACGGTAATAAAATATTTCAAGGAAATGTGAAGTCTGCCAGCACGTAATGGAATGGCGCCAGAATTTAAAAAAAAAACGATACCACCACAGACCCGGAACAATTAATTGTAGGCCATACAAATTCTTGTTCCGTGCGGGATTCGAACTCGCGGCCCCCAGCGCAACAACTCATTGCTAAGCCACTGCGCCACGGAGCCGTCAAAGTTGCTTCGTAACCCTTTCAGCGACGAGATAAGGCTTATGCCCAACAGTAGGAGATACATATATTGAGTTTAACTTTAATTTACTAAATTTACTGCAATCTGGTTTTCTTTTCGATCAGAAAATAAATTCCCTAAACATTCTACCCCCATCCCGATGAACTTGAATAAACTTCCAGTATGATACTTATTCTAAGAAACACCTTTCAGATATATAAGGAGGTTCCCTAAGCGTGGGATTATAAATAGACTGTAGCTTTATTTTTAAGGAAGAAAGAGTAGAAGCAAAAATCATTTAAAATAGTAATTTTACAGGTAACATGTGGGGTATCTGTCCAAACGGAACGGAGGCCGTTGGATGTGGTCGTTCGGAGACGTTCAGGAACTGCGCTGATGTGAGTGTGGTCACTAGCACTGGTGGGCTGCCACCAGCGTTCGCTGGGAATCTCAGAGTGGACAATCCTTTCCTACTTTTCTACAGGGACTATAAAATGCCACAAAACGTCTACCCGTTGGTGATCAGGTAAGGGACAGAAGGATAAACGCAATACTCGTGTTTAATTACTTGTTTAACGAAAACTTCTTATGTACATTTACTATCATTTAAAAAAAATAAAAACCTGAAACAAACTAGAGCGGTAAAATATTGCATTAGAAGCGTTATAGTTTAGGCGGTAGGAATTTGCTTAAAGAGAGCTATCTTAATTTAATATCCTTTATTAAGAGTTAAGCAAAAAAAAATTCTTATACATTATAGAGATAATTAGTGTAATATTTACAGGTATTACTTCAAATAATACGTAATTGACTTCTCCATATCATCCCGTGGGTGTCGCAAGAGACGACCGCGGGAAACTGAAACAGAAGATGGGTAGCAGCATCTTCCTGATAACAGATTTAAAAAATGTAACTGTTGCAAAATATCTTCCTTATGAGAAAATCTATGGGGAAGTCTACTCAGTGAACTTTTGATAGTTTGTAATGAATAAATTCATATATTAATGCAAAAATGTCATAAAAATGGAAAATGTTGAGTATAAAAATGCAACAAAATATATAAAAGTATATTTTTCGACTTCAGGAAGGGATATTTCTTTCGTTTAATTGTACATAAACGTGTTTTTATTCCCTGCCAGTATTCAGTACTACAGAAATTGTTGAAATCAATTTATGTTCTGATTTACCATCTGTTGAAAGTGAACAAAAATTTCATAACAGATCGAACTTGTTTGTCAACGAAATTTAAAAAACACTTTTTCATTACTCCCATATTCATTCTTTTTTTTTATTATTAAAAATTGAGTAAACTCCGTGATTTAAATTTATTGAATATCATACTCTAGTTTGTTTGCAGTTTTATTTGTGTTGATACTTGAATACTAAAAATGAATTGGTCTTCATTGTTTTACACAATTACTTTATAATATTTATGTTTTTCTTACAAATATCTATACAACTATATATAAATATCTATTCTATTTATAACAAGATATTGTTTTCATTAAGGTTTTATAATTTTGCTGTATATTATATTTTAATTATCATTTTCGTATATAATATAGTTATATTATATCATATTTATGCTTAATATTTCAGAAAATTACAAATGGATTACAAAAAGGCACCGTTTCGTGTAATTAGGTAAACTCAATGTGATTGAATGCGATATATTAATATACAAAATGTACACATTTACGTAAATAACCAGCACTGTAATATAAAATCAATTTTCTTTCAGCAACGATATATCTGAGACTCCAGAGGAGGATTTAGGTCCGCCTGTGATTAGGTATATTTCAGTTTATTCGGTAATTGAAGGTGCTTGGCCTTACCGACCTGGTGTTGGAAGATGTTTTTTTTTTCGGGATGTTTTTGTACAATATTGTGAATAATTCTTTACCTATTTTTGTTTGTACTTACATGTGTTTTGTGTGTACAGTTTTTAGTTTGTGACTAACCGTGAATGCTCCCCTGTAAATTGTCCAAATAATTTAGAAACAAATGTATAAAAGCTTTGTTGTAGAAATGTATTAACACGTGTAAAATAAAAAATGTGTCTATAGTATAGCTACTCTATGATACATATGAGGTGATTGCACGTGTGTATATAGATCGTATTGTACAAATATATAAAGTACAAAATGTGTATTGAATATATTTTAATCGTGGCACAATAGTTCAATCAGCAAGTTCAACTAAATCCTTAACAAAATCGTTAAACGTAACGTCAAGGAAATTGCTGGATAATGTTGTACAATACAATACAATAATCTTTATTGTACACCAAGAAAAGACAAAAATAACAAACACAAACAAATATTGAGCGAAAAACAAAAGGCGGTCTTATTGTTACATAGAATTCTCTTCCAGACAAACCAGAAAAATAATTAAATAGTAGTAAGAGAAAGATTAAGTAAATATTCTTACACCTTCGTCTTTATTTAAGCATCTGGTTAAATGAAGTTATTGATTTACTAATTATAATATTATTACTTTTTATTTTTTCTAAGCCCAATGTTATTGGCAGATTATTTGTGGGCTAATCTATATTTTATGCTGTTTTGGCTCCGATGGGCTTGAAGGATCATTAAGAATGATTTAGTTGTGATTCCGTATTACTGAAGTAGATAGTTGTTGAACGTAAATAGAAAGACCGTGATATGAAAAGTGTATTACAGTTAAAACTCGGTACAAAAGTAGTGCACTGCTCGTTCGTTTTATTAAAAGTAAGTTCGCACATCGTGTGTAAACACAAAGGTACAATAATAAGAACTTACGATTACTAAAATTAAAAGACACCGTTTACACCAAAAAATTGCAGCTGTCGACATAATCTTGCAATAGAACTGTTTAATGCCGCAATTGCAGAAAAAATAACTAAATTCAAATGTGTAACTTATAATCTAGCTATATTAAAAAGTTTTCGGACACGCAAAATATTAAACGTTATATGGATTACATTACGTTGATTTAGTTAAAGGGACCACCGCCAAATTAACTACAAGTAGCGGCACGTAAGTCTAGCGCTGAACGAAACGTGTAGGGGATAGCTGCGTATAGGTACTGTTGTGCACATTGAATTGCACGAATGCGACTAGAGAGCCAATCAGCTCGTGTGAACGATACGCACGAGCCAATCAGCGCGTGGGATTATGCACGCCCGCCCCGTGACCCGCTTTCTACCCCATGATACCTAATTTTCGACTTATGCGCAATAACGGTCACCGCTAGAGTACGCTAGCTTTCGTGCCGCTACTGTAACATAAATTTTGTGAGCAGTATCAATTGTGATGACTATGACAGTACACAGTAGTGTCTTCCTAATCTCATTTACAATTTAATTTACCTTTATTCTATCTTATGGTTAGCGGTGCGCCTTTGTAGCGACGCAAATAATTCACTCCAAAGTGTACAGAAATAAAATTCACAGTAAATTAGTTTTATTACAAAATTCACTTCATTTCTTCTCGTTCCTAGGTGATAGATGATAGGTGCTCATTACGTTCCTGACTCCAGTAGCTCGCAAATTAGTCTGTGTTCATCATTCGATGTTATACTACAATTGAACTTAGAACAAGAATTTTACATGACAGAAAGAATTTCTCCAAAAAATTGATGTATTCTATGACAAAACCAAAAATTTTCGATCCTCTTTAGAACTCCGCAGATTTACGGATAATTGGAATTTTTTTGAAAAAATTTGAGTTGGCAACACTACACAGAGTCACTAAGGCAAAAATTCAAACGTGTGACCAATAATTTGGGATAGGTGATTTACTGTATATAATTGGCAATTGGTTACATTTGTTTAATAAATGAAAGACTTAAACTAGGGTGAAACTCTTTTATATCTTCTGTAGTCTACTTTTCTTTACAATATTTTTTAGGTACCTGTACTTAGATTTTGTATATACTGATTCCGGCTAGTATGGACATAGTTTTACTTTATCCTAAGTAAAGTTTAAATCATTTCACATTACAAATTGCAAAATACCTTTTTTATTATTGAGTACTGAGCTACGAGTATTGGAACATTGTTTGCTAGCTTGTTTGTATTGTATTATGTGATAGTATCTTATTATTTCTCAGGATTGAAATAACAGTACTTAGTCGGTTTCACCATCGGCCTACAGAACACTCGGCAAGTCTCCATTTCTTGTCGATATACCAGACTTGCATCATTGCATAACAGCTAAAGAGTGGAATAATTTGCCAACATCTGTCTTTTAGTGATTACAAAGTAGGTGTCTACAAAGCAAGAGCGAAAAAGGCTTTTATTAAGCTAAGTCAGTGCGCTCTACCATTTTCAACTGCATCACTACTTACCATCAGGTGGGATGGTAGTCAAGCACTGGCTTAAAACAGTAAATTGATCAATAAGTTTTTGGAAACGCAATGAAACTCTAGGATAAGTATACGTAAATTGTATTTATTTTTCAACGTAATCGCCATTAGAGCTATACTTATACTAATACACCTTGAATAGCGTTTTGCAAGTTGGTTAATTCCTTTGTAAAAAAAGGCTTGATCTCGACACTCGAAAAAGCCCACTATAGCACACGTCCCATCATCGTCGCCGTCGAATTTTTTACGACGCAAGTGCTTTTTCAGGTAAGGAAAAAGGTGAAAATCACTCGGAGCTAGGTCTACAGAATATGGTGATTGCTGCATCAACTGAAAACCAGCAGTTCGGATGGCAGCACCTGCGACATCAGATCAATGGGCAGTGGCATTATCATGACTTTTTCATCATTCAAGCAATTTTTCTCAAAGCTTTTTCTTAAGTTCATTCATCATTAATAATAATCTCCGGTTATTATGTGTTCTTTACTAAAATATTCGATCATTATACATTTCGCATCCCGGAAGACAGTGGCCATTACTTTTTCCAGCGGACCATTCTCCTGAATCTCTTGGTTGGCGGGGAAGACGGTCTTTTCCACACCTTTTTTTGGTTTTTCGTCTCCGGGTCAAAAGTATGTACCTACTCACGTATCATCGATAGTTACGAAACTAGCGCAAAAAATCTGAATCTTCTTCAATTATTACTAAATTTAGCTTTAAAATGTCAATTCTTGCTTTCTTTTGGGCGTCTGGTAACATTCGAAAAGCAAACGCGTGGCCACCGTATTGAATTTAGTTTAAAATAAACTGAATGGTCTCAAACGAAAGCTTTAGAATCTCCGCTAAATAATGGATGATCACACGTCGATCTACCTAAACAATTTCTTCGATTATTTAACGTTTTCTTCCGTAGCAGCGGTTCTTAGCCGCCTGGAGCAAGTGTCGTCATTGCAGGCGGTTCTGCCGCGTTTAAATTCAGCGCACTAGTATGCCACTGTAGAGTAAGACGGAGCAATGTCTGGCAAAGTAGACTACAGTTCTCCAAAAACACTTGTTGTAGAAACATTTTTCAGGCATATATTTAATAATTGCACGATGTTCGAGTTTCTCCATTTTGCATACGAATCAAATTCCCACCAAGTGTGAAAAAATTGGCATTGTTTTGAATTTAGTTTTTTTCTGGCCTTGACGACTAACGGATTTAAGATTCGAAAAAAAATCGAACTCATTTTTATAACTCATTGATAAGTGTCTTATTCCGAAAACTTATTGATCAACCTAGTAGTTAAAAAAATGAATTATTATGAATCTCATTGTACAATAACAAACCCCTTATTAACAAATATCAATACTCCATAAATCTAAAAACTTCTTTCCTGCGGTTTTCAGAGATCAAGTGTGCGTCCCGTCTGATGGCTATCGGATGCTCCCCGGTATGCAGAACTGGTGCCAGACTAACTGTCTGCGGTACCCACCCCACTGTCCAGAGGACCTTTGCCATTGTCCGTAAGTGTTTTTCGTCTATACTGCGTTCTCAGCGGTAAAGGAAGACATCTTGAGATAACCTGCATGTCTGAGAAATAAAAAAGTAGCTGTGGGACGTAAGGCTATAACTTTCCTTCGTATACAGTGTCCTGGGTTTGAATGGTAGGAAGAATAAAATATTTATATAGTAATTAGAACCGATACGAAAAAACCATTAGTGAATAAAGTTGTACCTTTACGGTAAACATTTGATCCCATCCATACATTCATTACAGCTTATTAAAGTGCACTGCTGACCATAGGCCTCCACATAGATTACCTCACAAGGGGGGATTTTGCCTAATGGCACATAGTAAAACATTTGATAATCTTTTTTAGAAATGAAAGCCTATTCTTATAAAAATACTAGCAATCCGCCCCGGCTTCGCACGGGTGATTTCTGGATCTCTACAACGACGCCACCTACCGGTTGCAATTGTGATTTTAAACCATCCAGGGACCCACTCAAACACACAAAAGATTTTATCAAAGTCAGTTGAGCCATTTTCAAGTTTTAGCGAGACTAACGGACAGCAATAGATTTCTATATATAGAGATTATATATCACACACATTACTTTAACTTCCATATACATTTCGAAACAGTACATTAGTCGTTTTCTTTAATTATTGAATAATTAGGTAATATTTTTACAATGTTAATGACAATAGTTTTAAACAGGAAATTTAAAATTTCAGGCAATCCTGCGAAGGCATCGGCGAGTTCAAAGGTCGCGAAGGTGCTGACGTGCATTGTATGGACCTCTGCATCGTGTATCCACCTCGCTGTCCCAAAGACAAATGTCGCTGTTATTAGATAATTATTTTATCTTCTATATCTGTAGTGCAGCGGTTAGATAAAGACCCTTGAGACATAATTATTCTAATATCAGTAACCAAGCTGTAAAAATTTTGTTCAATTATAATAAACGTCACTATTATTTCAGTAAGCATTATAAATACGAGTCGAATACGCATTACTGACTTACTTATTAATTTGCATTTTTTGTAAGTCGTTTAATTGTGACTTAAGGTTCTTTAACTCGCAGCTAAATATATATTATTATGTTGTGGATAATGTGATTAATACGTTATCTTATTTATGCCCGGACCTTACTAACAAATCGTGTCTTTTTCTAAATGTATCTCAGGCTATTATAGGTAAATATATCCATATGTATAAAAATCAATTACTGTCCGTTAGTCTCGCTAAAACTCAAAAACAGCGCGACCGATTTTGATGAAATTTTTTGTGTGTGTTTGAATGGGTCCATAGATGGTTTAGATTCACATTTAGAACCGGTAGGTGGCGTTGTTGTCGAAACCATAAATCACCCGTGCGAAGCCGAGACGGGTCGCTAGTCTAATATATACTTTGTAAAATATTATTTACGTTATTACCACTTCAAACCTTATGATCGACACCCGGGCATGATAACATATTTTATGGAATTTAATATTATTGGTATCCCAAACAGCTATTTATGACACAAATATATATTGCGTATTCATTATATAAAAACTTTGAAAGTAATGAACCATTAATAGAACGAACTTGGAACATTATCCTCTTGACCTAAAATTTAAAAGAAAAGAAAGTAACATTACAATTTCAGTAATATTAGAAAGAATTTTAGGTACCTACAATTTTTGTATCTAATCACTTATCATATCTTCGTTGCTCACAGTATACATTATATTACAAATGAGGTACAAAATAAACCTGAATTTTACGCTAAGCAAATTTATGTTGCGAATATTGCTCTTCAAACTGATTTTAACTTTTTAAGCATTTAAATATTGTATAGTTTCTTTTTTTATAATTGTACAGTTGTATATATTATTATTAATTGATCGTTTAATTTTATTATAAGTTGAACGCCATACTCATCGAAATTCATTATAAGTGTATGTCCTATGTTTGCCATAATTTAAATAAATGGTGCCAGATTTCTTAGTTTTAAATCTTTGTAAAATAAAATTAATATTTTCAGTATAAACATGGGTGTGTAATTTAAGTTCTTAACCCCTTACTGCGTGGCTTTTATAAAAATGAAGAAAACATGATATACCTACTATATAGTAGGTAAGTCATATGTTTTCTTCATCTTATATCGCCCAAAAAGCTCATATAAAACAGAAAAAATATATCCCAAATATTTTTGGAAATATTTTGTAAAAACTATCACTACCATGGCATCGCACGCAGATGTAGGGATAATAATGGGTTTGCCAAATGTCATTGTATGCAGAGATTTATGGCAGAAGTTTTTTTTTTTTTATAGGAGAGGGGGCAAACGAGCATGCGGCTCACCTGATGGTAAGTGACTACCGCCGCCCATGAACAACTGCAACACCAGGGGAATCGCAGATGCGTTGCCGGCCTTTTAAAAAGGAGTACGCTCTTTTCTTGAAGGTCCCTAAGAAGTATGAGCAATTTAAAATCAAATATATAAAAAATAAAAATAATTCTTCAGTGATATGTGCCATTATCAACGTACTTCGTTAATCTTTATAAAGAATTTAATAAAAATAGTAAGTCTTGATTAACTATATACGACAAGGAATTACACATACTAATTTAGGTAATCATCACATTAAACTAATAAAGATGATAATTACAGCTAAATTATATACAGATCGTCTAAATTTTGTCACATTTACCGTGTTAAGCATTATAAAATATAAATTTGCGCATTTGGTAGAATTTACATATTTTATGAAAAAAGTTGGTAGAATTCATAACTTTTATCATCAAAGATATAAATTGTACCAAAAATACGATAATATATATAATATATAACATAGTTTTAAATTAGACGATCACAACAAAAAGCAATACTTTTGGTGTATAAAGTATAAGCCAATAAGCCGAGCCGTTGAGCCGTTTGGTTCTTTCGTCCGTCTCTATGTAATAGAGTATATTATTGGAATGACATTGAGAAACACACTTTAAATATATACGAATACGGAGCGATAACCCACCTGCTTGACATCTACTTCGTCAAAGGCTACCATCGATAGCTTCCAGCAGAGTGTGTGTATATGACTTTTTTATTATAGAATAAGGGTGACAATAGAGCACACAAACCACCTGATGGTAATGCTATTGCCCCTTAGACATCTGCATTTATCTTCCATTAAAATGAGAAAAGCAGATGCGTTGTCACCCCTGAAGACTAAGATGGGATGATTACAATCGAACCTATTGGTGTTTTTGCTATTACAATAGAAATCTATACAATAAATCTTGGAAAATCACTTTTTATAGAACTTGGTAAGAAAGTTTTCTTTAATGATTTTTGCTGATTTTAAACATTTAAAGTACATTAAGGATATACATGTTGCAGAAATAACTAGGAATGCTTGCAAGTCGAGGCACAATAAACTAAGTAGAAATTAATAAAAACAATGTTAAGTCACGTGACTTAATGCAGAGATATTAAGCCATTCTCATTCATTTTATAATTTTTTCAGTTTGTAGAAAGTGCCTTGTCCTAATTTCGGTCTCAGCGCAGGGTCTATGAAGACTTTCCATCTGCACAGGATAAAATTATAGTGCAGAGGAATTGCGCAAGCACAGATGCACTCTCTATGCTCTCACTTCCATGGCAATTTGACACGCCGGAGATCAGGCGCAGAACTGGAACAACGGCTTTACGTGATTTTCGAGGTACAGGGTTGAAACACCGCCAAATTCACGAGTCTGGGCCATAGATAAATATATATGTAGCAAGGTCTGGGCTAGCTACTGAGAATTTATTGACACAAAAAACAATAACTGGTTTCGGCTCTACCTAGGATTCGAACCTTATGATCAGCAGTTGTAAATTTGTTGTTGTAAAAAGACCAACGAGGCGGTCGATAATTGAACATTATTAAAATATACATATAATATTAAACATATACATTATAATTAAACCGGCAAGTACAGTATAGTACAATATACTCGCATATCGCTCCTCCATTGGATGGAATAACGACATGGGAAGAAGTGCAACGATGCAGTGAATATGAGTGATACAGTACCATGGTTTGATGGTAGTATTTGTGGGAAGCCTATCTTCAGCGGTTGACTTGAGATGCGCTACAATGATGACGATGATGATGATGGTACCCTCTTGGACTTTAAGGAACGTAAAAAAATGTGTATAAAAATAACATGGATTGTGACAATTAAGTTAATTAATTTGGGGGAAAGGCAATAACGTGGGATATAATCGGTACTTAGTGTTGCTCCCTCTAGCTCTTCGAACTTCCCTCCCCATACAAATACCCCCCCCCCCCTCCCCCATACCGTAACTGACCCCCCACCTATTCTTTCTCTTTCCAATGATGTTGTAATGAGCGTACCTCTCTCCCCAGCGTCTCCACAGTTAAATCCTTCCATCATCTGGCTTCAGGCAAAATATGGACTCATCTGTGGAATAGAAAACTTGACTCCAAGCTTTGTCGTTCCATTATCGTGATTACGAACAAAAGTAACCAGAGCTACTCGATAGCATGTGACAAGGGGGCATCTGGCTGCCAAGTGTGAATTTATTCCAACCGATTTCAGTTCTTTTCTCACAGGTTTTGAGCTTAATGAAAACCTTCGAATCTTTTGAAGCTGCTATTTACCTCAGAAGAAGTTAAGATCCGATTTCTAAGTAAGCTGGTAACGATGAACCGGTCATCTCTAGCCACAGTTTTCCGATTAAGTCCCTGTCTTGCGAGTCTCGTATATTGTCCGGTCTGCGATACCTCTTGACTACTCGGTGTATAACAGATTTTGATACTCGTAATGTTTGGACCACATGTTTGTAGGTGCGTCCAGTTTCGATTAAAGTCCTAGTAGAGTGGCGTTTAGATCTGGCATTCTCAGTTTATTTGCAGTAACAATAATTCACACTTAACACGATAAACGAGGCAATTAAGACAAAAATGTAAGCAAAACCTTAAATTCGAAATCAAAAGTTGGAAAAAATTTTCGGTGTATGAAAGAATTTAGTATAACAAATTAATATTACATAAAAACAAATGAAATTCGAAAAAAAACATTCCGAAATTTTCTTTTTTTAATGGTACCTATTTACTAATGTTGGTGGCCAGTAGTAGAGTAAGAAAAGATTTAACTTTTTTTTTATTTGCTTTATATTTGTCCATGAGAATACAAAATACCAATTAAATAAACATTCATCATCGCATTCGCGATGTAGTAAGCTAAAGTAGGCAAACGCCTACTTTAGCTTACTACATCGCGAATGCGATGACAAAAAATTACAAGAATTGAAAATCGGTATAAAAACACTTCTTCTTCAGATTCCGGATTATAAATATATTCTTCCTAACAAACATTAAATACTTTAAAATATAAAATGTAAGAAATTTATTAATAAAACTTTTGGAGGCGCCGGGTATCGATCCCGGTACCTCTCGCATGCTAAGCGAGCGCTCTACCATCTGAGCTACGCCCCCGATACTATTTATAATAAAATTAGTTGCTTGTCATTTAGCACGCAATGCTAAATCATAATTCCGTACAAGATCACCTTTACTTTCACTAAACTACTTCATGATCTAAATATAATGTACTTAAAACAAAGATTAAACACGTTCACTTAGTTGTTACATTATTTTAATGGAAATGAAAATTATTTATTTGAAAACGAAAGATGAATGAACGTAAGTGTGGCCAGCTAACTCATGGGTTCAAATTCAAATCATTCTCAAGGTCCATGTTCGAGTAGCACGTTATTTTAATAGTTTGACAATATTGCGGCTGAATTGTCGATCGTGTAATACCGGTGTAAGAATATCCACTGCCCCATATCATCC